AAATATCTGAAACAATTGTACCAAAATAAAATTTACATTTCACGGTTTAATATTATTTTATTAATTGCAATTGTATCCGCGTGAAACTTGAGTTAAAAACAATTAGAAAAATAACAATAAACCATTTAAAAAATATAAGAGATAACCCCCAACACTATTCTCTTCACGTAGTGGCAGGTTTACTAGATACTTCTAGCAAAAAATTATTGTGTAGTGGCAGGTTTACTACATAATTCTAATAAAAAATTATTGTTCTAAGTAAGTACAATAAGAGTTCTCAGAATTTCTATACCTAACGATGGTAAAATAGGAAAATACACAACTCAAACTAATTTTTTCGAACTTATATGAAAAAAATACCTAATCATTTTAGTAATGTTAAATATTAATCATATTAGAAAGAGTAATTACGAATACTATTATCGTAAAAAAATACCTACGTTTTGCTTTTATTGTTTAAAGCTCCTTTAGGGTATTCAAGAGTTCCAGATCATTTATAATTGAGAACAAATGTGTACCTACTAATTACCAACAGCGTGCAAAGGATATATATTTTGAATTCTAAGAAGTAGTACACATTTGCTTTTAATTTTGAATCCTTTTACTGAATCATTTGAAGCCTTGAAGAAGCCAAAGGGTTTATAGTGTAAAAATAATCTTCTTTTAACCCGGATGAAAAGAAGATCGAAGTAATCTTTATCAAATCAAATGTTCCACACGTATAGAACTGTTTTGTGTTGTTTAAGATGACTTTTTCGAGAAAAGCATTTTGTACTTCATTTAAAATACTTTGTAAAATGTAAAAGTTTTACTAGTATCACCGATCAAATATTATATAAAATGATGAATTAAAGTTGCGCACATTGGTCATTGAAGGTATTAGAAGCTTAAAAGGGGGACAAAGAAACACTCCACGTATGCCTTCTACTGTAAGTCTTTAAATGAAGAGAGCCCAAAAAATTCTAAACTCCTTAAAAATGGATAATCTTAAGTTTTGGATCGACAATGTTTTCCGGGTTCAATTTCATGGTCCATGGAATTTTGCAGTTCCAAATTGATATCAGCACTTCAAATCACCGCTTATCGTATATTTAGTAAAACACTACGAAATTCTATGAATTACAACAAAACAGCCGGCAAAACAATATCGAATTTATATACGCCAGCTGTGTAAAACTGAAAACTTCAAGATACTGTGGTGTGCTAATAAATGCATACAATCCAAAATTCTTAGAAAACAATTCGAAAAACTTCACTTATTAGATGAACCCAAAGCTAAAGAAACTATGGATTCAATTTCTTTCTCTTATTAAAATATGTAAAAGATCAGAAGCAAAATTGGATTGTATTTTGATATAAAATGATTGATGTCGATTATACATCAATCAAATTATTTGCAACCCTATTTTGGCTCTGATCTTTCATACAAACAAACCATTTTGACATCAGTGTCGTTTTTCTAATTAAAACGGGTGACAAAGGCAAATAAAAAAGCTTAGAGAAGAATTATTTGTTGTTGAACTGAAGAAACCATAACATTAAGATAGAAAAACTATATCGCAATCAAAAATCGCAAAAACAGAAAAGTATAAAACTTGAAAAAAGTATTTTGAAAATACGTATTTTGCCTTTAGCATTTAAAATACAAAAATTCATTTTACATTTGAAATAACAAATCGAAAAAGTATTTACATTTTGTATTAAAGTACTTCAAAAACCATTTTGCACATCTCTAAAAAAAAAATACTTAACAAAAATAATTTGAACAATCTTTTCACAAAAAAATAATAAACATAAATGATGAACTCAGAAGGGACAACTTCCGTAATAAAGAGGTTTTTCTTCTTTGTCAAATTCTCCAATTTAAATTTAATTGTTTGTTAATTATTTACACACAATTAATGACAAGTTTCGCACAATATGCCTAATTAACCGTTCATCTGCTTTTTGGAGACATTCCGCAAATCGATTTTGGAAGATGATAACTAGTAAAGCGATAGGTACTTTTACGGGCAACATTATTATAATGAAAAACTTAAAAATTTAAAATTGAAATTGAGAATTAAACAATCCTAAGTATAGTATCTTCATTTCATACAACATACATTGAATATTTTTAACAAACGATATACAAACAACATAAAATCTGACGACTTGGGTTTTAATGGGTCAGTAGAAGAGGAAAAAGTTTTTATTATAAAATCGATTTTTCATTAATCATAAGAAAGTATTTCTAAATTTTAAAAGCTAATAAACTAAGAAACTGTTATATAGACGGAAAAATGCGTAAAAACTTTTTTGTATAAAATTTTATGGTTTTTAAAATGGGTTTGGTCCCATTGATGTGTCTTTTTTTTTTAAAGCACACAAAAAAGGGAAATTTTGATTAACTTTAATTTTCTTGCTTATCACTATAAACTAAAAATCAAACGTGCACATACCGATCTATCGAGTATTTTATAGAAAATGCGGTCGACTTCATATCTATTTACCTTAAAGTACATAATAATTTAATTAAAAACATTAGCGCTTTTTTAGACCATATATATTTAATGTAAAAGCAATAATTTGCTGTATTTACATTTTATTTTGTATCATCATCGAAGTACTAGCTAAAGCTATTATGGTCGTTAGTAATTATTATTCCTTAATATTCAATAAATAAATACATAAACATGAAAGTAAATTAGTACATACCCCTTTTCACAGTGTGTGATTTGGGCCACATAACTAATAAACGCACTTTCATTCATAAAGTCATAGAATGTTTATATTTCGACATTGGAAACACTGCGCGATTTACTACAACAAGGATTTTCTAGCAACTCATCATCGTAAAATTGTAAACAACAACCTTAAAAGCTCTTATCTCTATCCCCTCTCAACAGTATAGTGGAATTTGTGATAACACAAGTATAAACATAAAGATTTTTAAACTACTAGATGTACAACTTGCTCTGACGATTATACAGCCAACCATACAGAACTATTAAAAGTAGTACATACTTAACATGTATAAATACAAATTTAATATTTATTTAAGGAACTAGCTTCATAAGCTTAAGAATGCTGATCAGAGGAATAATTGTTCTATTAATTGATAAAATCGATTTTTGTTTCTTCTTTCAAAAAATGAATTGTCAAGGATCTAATTTTGAATAAAATAAATCGATCATTTAAAGCCTGCGTTTGATTTAACATTTGCTTATTTGATATTAAAATTGATTACAAATTTTATTTAGCATCTCTTAAATTTATTTTTTTTATTTATTTCTGTTCCCAGTTTTGTGTTTTTCATTAGAGCATATAGGGTAAAAAATGCGCTCAATGTTTAGTGTAATTTTACTGAGCTTTGTCATTAAAATTTCTAAATTTAAATATAAATCGAAAACCAGATGAGATTTCTCAATATTTTTTTAATCTAAAGAAATATTAGAAAAATATTTAACGTACAATTCCTTAATTAATTCTACAATATATGTGCAAATAATTTTAAAATATTAAAACTAATTTTCTAAAATTTACTTTATGGTTTATACAGTAAAAGTTACTAGCCATTATTGCACCAAACAATATTCAACAAATTGAAAGAAACAACTCAATTTCTGTGTGCCCAAGTGGCACCAGTATCGTCTACGACACCCTTGCTTATCTCAAACTTTGAAAACTTATTTAGGTTTTCGTGACCCTTTTATTACCTTTAAAGGTAGCAAATAACTTGAAAAAGACGAGTCTAGCTATTATGGCTTTCTTTACATGATTAAAGTGTAGTCACTTTAGTTTCCAATCTCAAAGGATTAGTCTCGCGAGAGCAGTTTTATGATATGAAGCCTTTCTTGAAGAATACCGTCACAAAATTATGTGCTCTTTGTGGAAGAATTGCTTTAAAGCATAAATATATCTCAACTAATGTCTAACTCAGCTTTAGTTTTAATTAAAAATTGTTAATATCTAGCTAGTTGTTAATTCAAATCAGTCTATGTATTATCCAAAATGTACAGTTATTTTATTATTATTTATTATAAAACTATTTTGTCTAAAACACAAAAAAGCTAATCAATCTTTCCAACCTACACTGTGATGCAAAGCTGAAGGGTAGGGCAGCCACCCTTTGGGAATGGGTAAGTAATGGTTGAGGAATAAAAAATTAGTCAGACAAAACGATAACAAAAGGGAACTGAAAGATTATCTGTGGAATAGACTGGCACCTCATTTGCTTAAATGATTTATGGAAAGTACAGATAATCTACTACTAGGATAACTGGGCCTGGAATAGAACCGGTGTCTTCCCAAATATTAAACTGTGATCTAAATCACTAGACCAAGCTACTCTATGCTATTTTAACTATAAAAAAATATTAGTATATATTTGTATTTCTTACCTCAATTTTCAAGCCTGATAGCTGTTCAAAATCGAATGTCAAATCACTGTAGTCTTCGCCCAATGGCACCATAATAAACCCATACTGTCTGTCATTACAAATATTCATTGCGATTCCATTTACCATAGCAGATGCTGCAAAAACAATTACATCGTCGTGGGGTCCATTATACTCCGCTACTTCTTCAGGTCTGTAGGTCAAGCGATCCGACTCCGTTTTTCGCAAATCGACCAAAATACTCGAATGAACCATGGGCACCTCAAAACAGCCCACTTTCTTTCTATCTAATATAGGCTCATAGTCTTCGGTTCTTTGGTAATAATAATTTTCTGTCATTCCACACCAAAAATTTGAATATTTACTAACAGATTTCAGCATAGGTGCAACAATGGTAACGTTTTTAGAAACTAGATGAAGTAATACGTTTGGATCAGTAAGAAACACGTCAGTATCTAGCATCTGAAATAAAAAAACAGGTTGGCTAATAATAATTGAATGTTATTTCTTAATTTTAAGGCCTACTTACCCAAATATAATCAGCCCAAACTTTTCGAGCCACATCTAAAGCTGTTTGCCTTAAATTCATTACATGATAGTATCTTGTGTTGGACCAATGATTTACATTTATTTCATCAGAAAACCCAGCTTCGTCAATATCATATTGAAAATCAACCATATGGTATTGCGATTTTTCAAATTTCACCCATTTATTCAAAATTTGTACAGTTTGATCTATATTATGATCAGATCTAATCCTGCAATAGGATAAAATACCTCATTAGTATAAGAACTAATTAACTTAATAATAAGTTTAATCCATACTCGAATAAGAAAAGAGTAAAATGTATCTCTTTTTCCTTATTAAGAATAAAAGCAAATTTTATCGAAATTGACCATTATACTAACTGTTAATAAAAAATGTAGAGTATTTACTTTTTTTATGCAAATTATTGCCTGGGCTATAACTGTAATTTTAACGAATAATCCATTAATTAATTTATGAATAAGTTTACTCCCAATTTGAATTAAATAGAATAAACTATTTTATAATTATTTCTCAGTCTGTTTGAAAGTAAAATTTATGTATATAAATATATATAATATACATATAAAAGGCATCAAATTGTTATTGTTTTCTTTTTATAAAAAATAACCAACGCTATCATAACTGCGTCAATTTAAATTTCCCTCCTAAAAGCAACAAGTGGTCAAGACGCCCACCGATTCAGCCCAGACGACAGGCGTCGTGAGCGCTCGTAGAACCGCAAAAGAGCAACTGCACCAATCATTAAGCGAACAGCTGATCACATAAGAAAACCAAATGAAAATAATAACAGAGTTTTCTAAATTATAATTTAAGTATTGATACGTACCACAAGGCAATTCTGTCCTTCGGATAATTAAGTTTTCCAAGGAGTGTTAAAAAATAGGGAAGCGTGTGTGCTTTATTTCTAGCAAGAATTGATATCACAACCGTAGGTGCTTTTAAATTGGAACACAAAACCGAAATCACACAAACACATAAAATTATTGATAAAAAATTAAATTTTAATCCATTCATTGTGCCAAAAATATAACACTACGTATTATGTTTAATACAATTTACATATATTTCGATCGTTTTGTCATACATTGCGCTCATTATCAAGTTACATCAGCTCATGGCGGCATCTAAACACATTCATAATACACACACGCATCTACATACAGAGTGGGAGGAAATTTAAAGATAATTAAATTAGTAAACAAAACTATAAATAGATAAATTAACGACCCTCGGTTAGCGTGAAAGTAAAAAAGAGATCATCATTAGTCAAATTTGTAGCTATAGTTACAAAAGTAATGAACTCATTTTAAAATTAAGTTTGGAATTCCGTCTAATTAGTAGATTTAAAATTGAGAAAGAATGTGAAAAATTATTGCCAATAGAGATGAAAAGTTATTGGTTTAAACATAATGNTGTAGCCAGGTTTTCTTTTACTTTTTTAGTATAATAATTTGATCTTCTTCCTAGAAATATTAAAAAATTTACAAACGTCCAAACGATATATACCAATGATCAATCTTGATATGACGATTTCATCCCTGACTTGCTCAAAATCAAAAATCCGTAAGAAGCACATGGTAAAAACGTCATCTATTCAATGATTCTTACTGCAACTCAGATGATGACATGCCAACTACACGTTTAATGAAAAAATGTAAAACTGACTTAAAAATGTCTCTTTAATCGATATAATTAGTATTGAACATGGAAAGATAATAACTGCGAACAGTTTTAAGTATTAACTTTAGAAATAACGACAAACGCACAAATAGGGTTGTTTTTTAGCAGATTCTTCGATCTTTTCTATAGATATATGCATGTATTGTAATTATTTATTGCGTATTAGATAATACATCAAGCATTAAGCGTTAATAGTACTCTGTAGCAGTAATATAATGTGTAGCACTATATGCATGTAATAATATTCTAATGTATGTTTGAACCCCAGTCCATTGTTAAAACCAAAAACACCACCTTTCGGATATGAATTTTTGAAAAACGGTAAAAAGTGCGTAAAATGCTGTAAACACTTTCGATTTAAGGTTTTAAAGGCTATGGTCTTCTAAAACAACTGGGACAGCTGATAGTAAAACATTCTTGAACTAATTGACGATTAAAACGTTCAATTAAAAGATGGAAAGGTGGTTTACACCTACTTTTGATACAATATGTTTCCGTTTAACCAAAATCGTTAATTAATCAATTTTAATGTGTTTGAGATGGAAATAAACAATTGCAAAGAAGTGGATGGTTTGAATGTCTGCATTCGGGTGCATAATTGGTTGCACATATTACATATTTACATTCTAATGGTATATTATAACTAATTAATTTTTAATGTTTAACGCTTAAAACATGGATTTTATAAAATTACTGAAAACGCCGCCAAAATTAGAATATAAGTGAACGGTACCCACTGTTCTTTGGACGGACTCACCTAGTGTATAAATAAAGTGATAATTGTAAATAAACTACGACAAATCCTTGGGGAAAAATTCTCTTAGATATTAGAAAAGCAGGAAAATATTGAATTCAAGTAGGTACCAAATGTATTATTTCTTGATAATCGCTTATTTTTTTACCATTCGTAGATTAATTTAGTAAAGCGTATAAGTGTAGAACGTGTATGTATTATGTCTGTTATCTCACATTTTCCTTTTATTTAAAAAGTTCACAAAAAGAATATAAAGATAACTATTTAAGAAATTAGCTACTGCTAATACCTGTAAACTTATTGTAAGTATTGTAAAGATTTTGTGTTAATTTTGTTGGGTGTTAAACTGAAAGTAACACATTCCAGTTTTTATTGTAAATCTGTACGTATACTAAGTGTTTTAATAATAAATGAAACTTTTTCTATTTTGAACATTTCTTATTATTTGGAAATGCAATTCTTTAATTAAATAAATAAAAACTTGAACAAATTTAAACGTCAAATATAAAACTATACTTACTCTCTTATTATTTCACTAAGAAATATTGAAAATATTTCTACAAGCAATTCCACCAAAACTATAAAACGAACATCAATTACTCCACTACAGGGAGCGGTTAAAAGTCATAAAGATGGATCTGTGCGTATTTTCGTTACCATATACACCAAAAACTGGCTTTGGGAATAATAAAACCTACAGGAAGATAACGCTATCAAAACTTAGTACATTACAACTTGCCCCTATGTAACATTATGGATAACTGTCCTTGTTTCTATTAAAAGAAATATATTGTCTGTTTTATGATTTTCTCCTTGAATTTAAAATACCTATCTCCTCAAGTGAAACAATGGAGTGTGTATTACAAATTTCACTTTTGATTTTATTACTTATGGTATTTTAATCTAAATTAATATTATAAATGCGAAAGTGAGTTTGTTTGTTACCATTTAACGTCTTAGTTACTCAACCGATCATTATAAAATTTTGTATATACACTGACAAGGATATAGAAAAGGACATAGGGTACCTTTAATCCAGAAAAAAAATTGTTTCCACAAGGATAGCAAAATTAGTTTTATGTGGTCGTCGATAATCTTCGACAAATATATAGGACATCAAGGCGAGCGAAGCCGCGGGTAAAACCTATCGTGAAATTTTGTATACACATTGTCAAGGGTACAGAAAAGGGCATACAGTTTCCAAAAAAAATATATACAAGTCTAGATCGATTGAAGAAATTAATTTTATGTGATCGTTACGATCTTTGACAAGTATTTAGAACGTCAACACCAACGATGCCCGCGGGTAAAACCCTATTGGCCCACGCGGGTCCTGAAGGGGTTGTAACATACACTCACATTTACGTCGAGGGTTGAAAATACATCGATCTGGCATAGTTCATAGGGAAATACATTAATACACGCATTATCGTAAAGACAAAAGGAATACTTGGACAAAATTATTCTAACGAAAATGTACAAAACAACTGATATAGAATAAATGCTCTAATAAACTCAAACCCTTTATGAAGTTTCAAACATTTTCCCCTTTTTTATTTAAAAAACATTGCCAATGTAAATCCTTCCTTTAGTAAAGGGTTCTTATTTTATTGTTTTCATGTAATAATAGCAGCAAATGAATAACGAAATAAAACAGTTAAATATCAGCTGACAAACACAAAATGACAGTACGTACGTATGTACCATGTCCTTATAATCAACGAAACAAAAGAATGAAAAAGCTGGAATTGTATATTCATTCTGAATCAACAATAGCACATTCAAAATGAAAAATCTTTTGTAATACATCAGGCCTATTCGAATAATAGAAAAAATATGAGAGGTTTTATTTAAATTGCTACTCCGTTTAAATATTAGGACGTGTTTTCGCAATTTCTTTTATATTAAAAAGATAAAAGTAATGTCACCATTTTTCAGTACCAAAGTATTATTAAAGTAATATTTATTATTGTTTCTTGCATTTTGTTGAAATGACGATATAATTTGCAATATTTTATAACAATTTAAATTGGTAAAAATAATTTTCCTTCAACTGTTCGCAATCCAATTTTATTTATATTTTCCTCTCAGTCTCTTATTTTTTACGGGTCACGAATATTTTGCTTATAAGTATCGGTAAAGTGCTCTTCACTTTTTTGTATTCTCAACAAAACCAACCATTCCGTTGCCGTAATAAAAACGAAATAATAATAAAAAAAAATGTGAATGCAAAAATCACGTGCCGAAAAGTTCAATTTTAAAATTCATTTTTATCCTTAATAATAGACATTATTCACGACAAAAAAAAAGCATTGCTTTATGACTCACCTTCCGTCGACAGCATCCAAGATTTCCACTTCCAACCCCAGCTCATCAAAACAACGCATCATTCTCTTTCTTCTCTCAGGTCTTCGCAAAAGATTAATCATGTAAATCTTGTCAAAAGCCCATTTTTCCTTTTTCGGTAGTGGTGGTTCGTAAGGCTGAAGGATTTTATCAACCGGTAGAGGATCGCCGTCTGTAAATATCTGAAACAATTGTACCAAAATAAAATTTACATTTCACGGTTTAATATTATTTTATTAATTGCAATTGTATCCGCGTGAAACTTGAGTTAAAAACAATTAGAAAAATAACAATAAACCATTTAAAAAATATAAGAGATAACCCCCAACACTATTCTCTTCACGTAGTGGCAGGTTTACTAGATACTTCTAGCAAAAAATTATTGTGTAGTGGCAGGTTTACTACATAATTCTAATAAAAAATTATTGTTCTAAGTAAGTACAATAAGAGTTCTCAGAATTTCTATACCTAACGATGGTAAAATAGGAAAATACACAACTCAAACTAATTTTTTCGAACTTATATGAAAAAAATACCTAATCATTTTAGTAATGTTAAATATTAATCATATTAGAAAGAGTAATTACGAATACTATTATCGTAAAAAAATACCTACGTTTTGCTTTTATTGTTTAAAGCTCCTTTAGGGTATTCAAGAGTTCCAGATCATTTATAATTGAGAACAAATGTGTACCTACTAATTACCAACAGCGTGCAAAGGATATATATTTTGAATTCTAAGAAGTAGTACACATTTGCTTTTAATTTTGAATCCTTTTACTGAATCATTTGAAGCCTTGAAGAAGCCAAAGGGTTTATAGTGTAAAAATAATCTTCTTTTAACCCGGATGAAAAGAAGATCGAAGTAATCTTTATCAAATCAAATGTTCCACACGTATAGAACTGTTTTGTGTTGTTTAAGATGACTTTTTCGAGAAAAGCATTTTGTACTTCATTTAAAATACTTTGTAAAATGTAAAAGTTTTACTAGTATCACCGATCAAATATTATATAAAATGATGAATTAAAGTTGCGCACATTGGTCATTGAAGGTATTAGAAGCTTAAAAGGGGGACAAAGAAACACTCCACGTATGCCTTCTACTGTAAGTCTTTAAATGAAGAGAGCCCAAAAAATTCTAAACTCCTTAAAAATGGATAATCTTAAGTTTTGGATCGACAATGTTTTCCGGGTTCAATTTCATGGTCCATGGAATTTTGCAGTTCCAAATTGATATCAGCACTTCAAATCACCGCTTATCGTATATTTAGTAAAACACTACGAAATTCTATGAATTACAACAAAACAGCCGGCAAAACAATATCGAATTTATATACGCCAGCTGTGTAAAACTGAAAACTTCAAGATACTGTGGTGTGCTAATAAATGCATACAATCCAAAATTCTTAGAAAACAATTCGAAAAACTTCACTTATTAGATGAACCCAAAGCTAAAGAAACTATGGATTCAATTTCTTTCTCTTATTAAAATATGTAAAAGATCAGAAGCAAAATTGGATTGTATTTTGATATAAAATGATTGATGTCGATTATACATCAATCAAATTATTTGCAACCCTATTTTGGCTCTGATCTTTCATACAAACAAACCATTTTGACATCAGTGTCGTTTTTCTAATTAAAACGGGTGACAAAGGCAAATAAAAAAGCTTAGAGAAGAATTATTTGTTGTTGAACTGAAGAAACCATAACATTAAGATAGAAAAACTATATCGCAATCAAAAATCGCAAAAACAGAAAAGTATAAAACTTGAAAAAAGTATTTTGAAAATACGTATTTTGCCTTTAGCATTTAAAATACAAAAATTCATTTTACATTTGAAATAACAAATCGAAAAAGTATTTGCTTTTTGTATTTAAATACTTTTATAAAACCATTTTGCACATTTCTAACCAATACAAATACAGATGTCAGCAGATATTTCGGTGAAGATAATGCAATGAATGGTCACTTAGGCAATATTACAGTGAAAGTAGATTCGAACTCGGACATTACATTCATTGTTATTGTTCGATCTAGGGACAGGGCACCATACCAACGTTGATATAACAAAGTAAAGATATAACATGTTCCGTTAGCATAGGGTAGCATGTCGCAGAAGGGCTGTTGTGAAACGACACCCTCGAGCACGTCGGGCCAATCAACCCCAAGTCCCGCCCTTGACTTCGCAAGGGTGCTTAATGTCATTGTCACACATCGCGTCCCTTCATTGTGAATAACTGCGTGAGTTCACGTTCTCCATAGTGCATTTTGACTTATTAATGTTGCTAACATTTCCATTTACAAAAGCGGATATTGTACCACGGAAATTGCACCCTCTCTTCTACGAAAAGAAAGCCCAGTGTCGATTTTGCAACGGCTTTTTTCATTTAATAGCACGTGGGGGTCCGCAAGGCTGAACTGCGGGACATCTTCTTTTTACAATACGTACTCATGTATCGTAATTGCAAGCTAAATTTTAACGGGGTTGGAACATAATTAACCAAAACTAACGTAATTAATTGATATGTTCGATAACTTTCAAAGTATTCTATGTTAAGGTTGTTTTTGTCTTATGGTATATTAAAAATGTTTTTCTTAAATGCTATATAAGTCTATGTAAGGGGTTAACCTTTTACGTTGAAATAGTGTGGAGATTTTTGGAGATATTTAAAAATTATACACTTTCAGATACACTTGAAAGTTGTCAATTTTTTATTTTCAAAATTAATGTTGCGGTCCATTGAAGAAAAAGTCATGGCGGATTTGCACACACACAACAATCAAAACAAATAAATAAACATTTCAAGTCCGAGAATTGTATGATGTACCCAAGTTTGATAATATGTCTTGTTGTTGCAATTTGCCGGACTCGTAATCTAGTCTCAGGATGACGTATTTTTTTTATTAAAAAGCGTATCATTATACGGTGAGATTCGTTAGCAATGATGACTTGGCGAAAAGCAGAAAGCAGTCGAAGAGGCGTTTATAAAATTAGCAGTCCTGATGATAAAGTTTAGACATATGTCTTGGTTTCATAAGTACCTGATAATGATTTCTAGAATTGGTAGCAATTAGTATCAAATTCTTCGGTTATTGGAGGCTGATTCTAACCATCTTGCCTGTCCAAACGTGTCTTTGGGTTTTTAAATGTTATTCCATGTACTTTTGGTTACAGTGTTTTATTTCTGCAGTTCTGATGAATTTGCTACTCTTGAGATTTGTTATATGCTTAAAGATTTTAGATTGGTACAAGAAAAATAATGTTATAACATTTTTGATAGACCACGTTTGGGCAATGATTCAAATTAATTTGTTGATGATGTTCCATTAGTATAATATATTTAGTTTTGTAGTCGTAGCTAAGGAACAGTGGATATAATATAATTAAAAGAAATTTTAGAGAAGTAGGGTACAATAGTAATAATATAACAAAGGAGGTAGGGGTCATTTTGATAGAAAATGAGGAAAAGGCAGAAAGGTGGGAAGAATATTTAGAGAACCTATATACAGGCCATGACTTAGGAAGTATATTAGAAAAGGAAGATAGTGTGGAGATAGATAAACTAGGTTATTCCATAATGAGAGAAGTGTTCTATGTAGCATTAAAAAACAAAGAATCGTAAGGCACCAGATTGTATGAAAATAAATAAAAGGAAAACAAAAATATTGGTATGCAAGGGAGAAAGAGTAGGGAAAGAGCGAATATAATGATAGGAGACGAAAGATTAGAAGAAATGGCTGATTATA